CTCTTGATCACACGATTCTAACCATGTAAAAAACTTAATCTAACTCTCAAAGACCAGAGAGAATTTCTTTGGCCCTAAATTCTAACCTAGTTTTTTCAGAAAGTTCAACTATCAAATACTCCTAGCTCAGTTAACATAAATGAATTATATGCATATGTACAGCTCAAGGGTAATGAGGACTACATTTTTTATTCACAAACCTAAGCCTAATGATTCATAAATAGAGAGATAAAAGTTTGAATTTTACCTGTTTCAGTCAAGCTCGAGTATGACAATGTAGGGGTTGTGAGTGAGGCCTGAGATACTTGTGAGCTTTCTTGAAGTTCCTTTGAGCTTTCCCAATGCTTAGCTAGCTTTGAACTTGCTTGAATCTCTCTATAGAACTCAACATGCAAGCTCAGAATTTGAAAATGGTGAAGTGTGTAAATGGAGTTACAATGACTTGGAAATGGTTGGGATAGTTTAGGTATGTTGTATGGAGTGTATTGGAACTGGTTTGGGGCAAAATGCACGAGGAAATGTGAAGATGGAAGTGATTCTGCAGGGCCTGCCCTATTTTTGCAAGAACTTGTGATTTTTGTGTACAAGGGTGTTTTTGAGGTTGCTAGCTCGTGTTTCTGGCTTAGTAGGATATGCAAAACTTGTTTGAAATGTTTACAAGAGTTGGTTATATCAGATTGAAGAGTTGTGGTCATTTTGCAAGTTGACTTGGTTTTGAAGAGTTGTGGTCATTTTTCAGGGCCCAGCAGTTGTTGGTGTCATGACCCGGACTTTCGGAATGATATGCGCAGCGGGCATTTGGGTGATAATAAGGGGACGCAGTGTTAGGGTTTGTTGGAGCTTTCTTCAGAGTTGTCAAATTAGATTTCAGAAGATGTGGTAAAACCTGAGCTAGAGTCATATTGATTTTGGTGAATTATCGGACTGGCCTTTCTACCCTTGGTTGATCAGATGTAGGCTTTGGGATCATAACAGCTCCTACCATTGGTCGATGTTCAGCTCTCCTTTGGTTCCTTTGTGGGTAGACAGCAGACACCTCCTTCTTCCCAGTGAAAGGCTTTCTCACAGCTGTAGAGGCAGATGAATCCTTCTGAATCTTTCCACTTTTTATGCCAGCTTCCACCCTCTCTCTGGTTAGTATTAACTCAGTAAATCCAGCAGATGAGCTTCCAATTAGATGGTTGAAGAAAGGGCCCGATAGAGTTCCTAAGAACATATCCACCAACTCCCTTTCAGACAGAGGGGGTTGAACTCTCCCAGCTAGATCTCTCCATTTCTGCGCGTAATCCTTGAAACCCTAATTTGAAACCATAGCCATACTCTGAAGTTGAGTACGGGTAGGTGCCAAATCTGTGTTATACTGGTATTGCTTATAGAAAGCTGCAGCAAGATCTTCCCAGTTGTGGACGTCTGCCCTTTCCAATTGGTAAAACCAATCGAGTTGTATTCCCGATAGGCTATCTTGGAAAAAATGCACCCACAAGTCCTTATCGACGGAGTGCGGCTGGATATTTCTCACATATGATCGGAGGTGCATCTTAGGACATGACACCCTATCATATTTTATAAATAACGGCACTTTGAACTTTGGTGGGATCACGATTCCCGACACTAGTCCCAATTCTTCAAAGTCTAGACCTGGTACCCTTTGCATTTCCATGGCGTTCAAGCGTTCCTCAAGATGTCTGTACTTATCATCTGCCGGAGGATACTGTTCTTCGGAGTAGTCTTCCTCTTCTTCAGATTCTGACGGAACCACTATTTCCTTTCCTTTTCCTTCATCAGAGGTTGTGGCGAAATTCAAGGTCCTTCTAGTCTGTCCTTGAAACCTTCTCCCCGTGATTACAACACCGGTTGGTTTTTTCTCTTTCTCCTTCTTTTCTTTGGCCAACAGAGTCTTCAACTCCTCTTGTCCTTTGGCCAGGTTGTGAGTAACTATTGAAACTGCGCGTTTTGAACTTGAAGATCTTTGACTGTCTGTTCGAGATCCATCTTACTGAAATAATCAATAGAGAGATGAGGGAACTTGTTGCAAAAATGCTTGTTTATGTTATGATGAATGATATGTGCATATGTAATGTTTTCAAGGATTTCAATGATTCAAGTTCGTTTTAGACAAAAAAGAAACACACGTTATATTAATAAGATAGAGTTTGAGTACAACAATTCCCCTTGGGCAAAATAATGCAAAACTCTAAGATAAAAAGGTAGTGCGCATCCTTTTTGGTGTAATGTAGGCATTTAGAGTATGCTCCTCACGAAGTAGCCTAGTGAGTTCCAAAACCTTCTTCTCGCTTGCGTAGAATTGGGCTTCGAAAGTATCTCGCTCTCCTTTGAGCTGTATCCAATCCCTTTGTAAGTCTTCCAGAGATGTGGGCATGTCAGGATGTAGGATGGTATATGGAACTTCTCCCTCCTTAACAGGCTCAATGATCACCAGCAGGATGGAAGGATAAGGCATCATAAGACTTTGAGTGCGGGTTCGTACCCACTTGAGGTAAGGCTCAAGAGGGATGGAATTCTTGTGTCCCAAAGTCTTGCTATCCACCTTGTTTAGCATCCTCCAAGCTCGGATGAATCTCTGGCGAAGACCTTGATCGTTGTTGTCGTAGTCGAATACTAAGCCTTGAATCAGTACCTCGTGCGGGCCATCCCTTCGGGCATAACCAAACTGTCTTATAGCCAAGCATGAGTTGTAGGTGATGCCTCCCCTAACGCCAAGTAGAGGGGCATTAGGGAATTCCCCATAACGGTTAATAATGATAACATTCTCCTTGGATCGAGAGCACCAATGAATATCTGAATGTTTGAGCGTCATTAACCTTTGTGACCACCTTAATCCTTGCTCATTCCTTAAGACTGATTGGGGAAGATGAGAAATAAACCATCTTGCCAGGAGAGAGGTGCAACACATAAGGGCACCTCTTTTTCTCATTGTGCGAGTGTGAAAAGAGTGTAGGATATCTCCTAGCAATGTAGGCACCAGATTTCGTGACATGAAGATTTTGACGGTACTTACATCTATGAGTTGGTCAGGATTGGGGAACAAGACCATCCCATAGATAAGAAGGGCCACAATTTCTTCAAAAGCTTGCAAGTCTAGAAAATTCTAACAGCTTTGGGCTTTCTCAAACAGAAACTTTACTAGGAAACCTTTGACACCACTCCTAGTTTCCCAATGAGTTGTGACATCAGATGAGTGCAAGTGAAGAACTTGAGAAATCTCTTTTGGCTTTGGGTCTCTTTCCGTACCGTTGAAAGGTAGTTGATTGAGAACGGAAATCCTCAAGAGTTGAGAGAATTCTTCTAAAGTAGGCACAAGCTGGTAGTCGAGAAATGTGAAGCAATGGTGCAAAGGATCAAAGAACTGAAATATCACCTTTATCATGTCCTCATCTGTGTGGGAGGTGACCAAGTTTAGTAGACGATCATGCCTCTCGCTGAATGGAGAAATCTCAGGGATCCTTGAAGCTAGCTCCTTGAGTTGTGGAGGAATTCTTACAAGGTTGACTTGGATAGTTTTCCTGCGAAGTGAATTCATATCCTACAAAACAAGAACAAAGATGAATCTCCAAAATCCTTGAAATGGTTAGTAGATGCATATGATGCTCATAATGTCCATGATGTTATGTACAAGTATGCATACACAAGCAAAACAAACAAGTTCCTAGTTTAGGCTTGCATGGGGTTTTATAGGTAAGTACCCTCTTGAAGTTTAGTTGGCTCAACCTGTCCTAGTAATAGTAACCGGGTTCTAAGGAGTTCAATATCACCGGATTGTTTCCTTGGTCATTGTTTCAGCTCAAACCTCTTTAATGGTGACCGAAATATTCCAAGAAATCAACCCTCAATGAATGTAGTATCGAGTATCTACCAACTTCGAACTGCACCAAAGTCGGTCATCTCACTACGCCCTAAAGACCAAGTTGGTCAAATAAAGGTTCTAAAAAATTCATTAGTGCTTCACGATATCACTCAGCGGCCCCGTATTCTCCTTGACTACTCAAGGGCTACGTAAAGTTAAGGTTAATGTCTTATGCGGGTACAAAATTGTCACGTGAAGAATAGAAACCGGTGGTTTATAAAAGGGTGTTTGCGGTTCAATTTTGAGATAAAAATTTGTTCGAGATAAAAACTCATTGTCACGTGAAGAATAGAAACTGGTGGTTTATAAAAGGGTGTTTGCGGTTCGATTTTGAGATAAAAACTCATCCGACCTAAAAATAAATGTATTCGCTATTCGGTTCAATTTTAAATGATTGATTTAAAAAATTCAATCTGATCTAATTTCACACGGTTTAATTTGAGTCAACTTTTAGATATCCAAATTACAAATTCTATTTTTTATTAATATTATAAAAATATTAATAAATAATATATTTGATATAATATATAATATATAGTATATAAAAAATTAATATTACAAAATTAAAATAATCGAAAATGGTTAAAATAAATGAAATAATAAAAATAAATAAATTAAATTAAATTAATAAATAGTTTCAAAAAATAAGTATCATCAAATAATAAATTAATACAACATATCATATTGATTAAAAAAATTAAATATGTATTAATATATATACATGCGGTTGAAAAATCAATCTAAAATCCGAACCAAACTGAACAGGTTTTACAAAATGACATCCAAACACATTCAATAATATTCAGTTTTTTTTGCAGTTCAGTTTTTTTGCATCGGTCTGCAGTTTTTATTTAGATCGGTTTGAATTTGAACACCCCTAATTTCCATGTGCACACTAAGAGCAAAACATTGCTAAGCATTGAAATTATCTTTTATTAAGTCATTTTCTTGCTCTCTGGTCTTGTAGATTAGTTGGATTCAAGGTTCTGAAGGAGCTTATTTGGACTCAATCCTAGTGAAATGGCTTTTCAGTTAAACTATACTTTGATATAAACAAGTTAGAATATAACAAATGAATCACTCACAGCATATTAACCGCTAACCCAATACAACTCAAATCAAATCTCAACTCATATCATTCCGTCTCCTTGTCAGGTCCTATGTATATGGTAAAAAATACAGAGACAACAATAAGTAAAATTCCAATCAGATGATCCAAAGCTGGACTTACTAATGTCAAAGCAACTCTCCAAAATTGGTTTAGTCCTGCCTGAAACAATAGAAACATAGGTTCATGTCAGTCCCAACTCCCAAGGAATAGTATGTAAATTCAAGTGCCATCGAAAATATATAGAACTCCAAAAAGGAAGTACTAGTAATAATCAGTTAATTGCTTAGCAACACTGGTGCATGCAAGTAGATAAAAAGACCCATCGTTCCAACATGTTTAACCAGAAAAGTATGAATCAATTTAATACCGTGGGGAGACTCAAAGCATGAAAAAATGTACAATTTTAAATCAAGGTCTCTCCATCAGCCCTGACTACGAAAAGTACACAACAGAGTAGTGCACTTCTTACAACATCTTCCTACATGTTATTCATCTCTGGCAACATCATAATCTGACAATTCTTGATTAGTTATCTAGTGCACACTTCTTTGTTCTTTCTGATTCCAAAAATGGTACACAAAATTACAGGTCTAGATTGATCACAGAAAGCCAGGATATTTTACTTGAAATTGAGACAAATCTAGGATGTGGTTGACTGGTTTATTTCAGCATGTCTAAAATTTTCTTTTGGTTGCTTCAGAATCTATGTTTTGAATTTGTAAAAGTGTGCTAAGCTAAGTACTTTGTGTAAATACATGGTAGTGACAAAATGCAAAAATTGCAGTTGATTTCCCAACTAGTTATAATATCAAACACATTGAAATTAAGTTGTCAAAATTAAAATGACAAACAAAATGACAACGTGCATGGAAGCTGTACAATGAGGATACCTCCATGTACTGGATGTTGGCAACTTTACCCATCCTCTCAAGTTGTAGTCCTCGCGCTAACAAGACCTGTAACAGGTTGATGTATAATACTATAACATTAAGTATGTTTCATCAACAGAGAAAAACAATGGCGGTAAGCTAGAATACAGAGATGAAATACAGCATTTTCCTATGAGTGCGGCAGTACTGAGTTAGTCTCATTGGCTTTTAACAGTAGTAATGGTATAGTAGAACTTGACCTAATTATAGTATGATTAGGAATTTTAGGTTATAACTTATAACTAAATTGTATCAACCATATTTTCAGTTTATTAGAGCTAAAAACAATTTTTCTTTTCTGTCTTCTCTTAAATCCATAACTACGAGTAATATTAAAGCTTTATGGCACACCATAACTTGTCTGTGTATGTGTTTCTGCATAATTGAGTTCACGGAACTTTTTGTGTAAGCTCGCTTTTGTTTTCTCTTAATATTATTCTTTTAAAAGAAATTCCAATGTATTGTGTGTTTTTTTTTTCTTTTCAAAAGGAGAGAAAAAATCATGTAGGTCACCCATGTTTCAGTCAGGCAGCCAAACAAGGGCCGGTAACTTGTATTTTGGATCACATCATTGCACATATGTCAATACAAAACTATTGCTCAGAGAAGTGTTTTATTTCTCTTTCCAATTTCACTACCTAACCACTATAGATTCAACAAGAAGGATGTGCCCATGATTCATTGTTATGAAACAGTCATGGAACCCTCTCAAGTGCTAAAATAAACTTGGTATGAAGCAATGTTCGATAAAAAATACTGTTTCACAAGTCTCTCAGGCATAGGGTAGAAGAGAAAAGTTTTCAAAAAGTGCTACAATGTCAGTCACTGCAGATTTGACTATAATGAGTAGAACCATATAGTAATTAAGAGCAAGATCAAGTCATTCAATATACCCTATGATACTCCGAATGGTATTGTTTTTTGTCCATCTTATTTTCTATTATTTGGCTAGGTGTTAAGGTTGCCTAGTGCAGATCCAGAATGGGTTCTTGTCGTGGTTGGTGCTTTATTGCACCAGGTTACCTTTTTTGGATATCATCGTTGAAGTAAAACTCATATAGTCCTCATTTAAACTACAACATAACTATATTAATTGTCCATACCATGACTATCAAATTTTACGAAAAAACTGAAAGCTGTGATAATCAGCTTAGAGTTGTACCTCAGCAAAGAAGGCCAGAACACCAAGTACAAGCATAAGCAAAATTGACTCTACTCTTGGTAGCACAAAATCCTGTACAAAGAAGACAGAGTATGTTATAAGTACATTAAATTTTCATAGATATGACATGAACATGGACTACTCCTTAATAGCATTTGTAAAAGATATAAAACGCTAATAAAAAAATACTTAGACAACAAACATCTGATATCTTACAGGTGCATTCCAAATTTGTCATAGATATGACACAGAATAATCCTTATTAGCATTTGTAAAAGATATAAAATGCTAATAAACTCAGACAAGCAAACATATTATATCTTACTGGATCATGCCTTGCAAGAAAAGGTTATTCATAAAACTATTAAAGAAATAACCCCTTTTACAATTATGTTTAGAGATGAACTCACTGAAGAAAGCAAGTTTGATACAACAAGCAGAAGTTGTAAAGACTAAGCTGCTGAAAATCCAGAATTTATGAAATCGGTATAGGCATCAAGGAATGCCTGACTATAGTAGCTAAGGTTTTAAGCAGGGTATAAAGGAAGAGGTTGATTTAGATTATGCCTTCAATTCAAAAAGTAGAGGTTTATTTTGGGATTACAATTGTCAGTAACAGATTTTCTTAGTATATTTCTATCACCACTTTATTTATAAATTTGTGAAAACATGATGCCAAAACAAAAATGAAATGTTTTCTAAAATCTAACAAACCGTAAAACTTTAGCTTGCTTTCATATACAGAGGGTTATGTTCATAGATCAACATTAATACTTTTTTCTTGAAACGCCAACCAGTGATTGAAAAAAGCAAATTCAATCAATCATTCCAAGCATAAACTTACCTCAAAGAGGTAAGTGCATAATCCCATTGCAGGACTAGCCAGTATGCCAAACGAAAAGACAGTCAACCTGCAATAAAACATAAACTCATAAAACTAAGAAAATATATTTGCATCTCTAAAATATACTCAGAAAAGAAATTGTAGGTTCTCATAATTTGGATTGGGCCTAACTATCCATACAAAACCGGTTTGCAAGGTGAGGATTGTTCCCACTTATAAATACAACACATACCATATCTCTAAACAATGAGAGACTAAATACACCCCTTCAAACCCAACACAATGAAGGTATTGGAGGCTGCAATAAGTGCAAGTCAAATGCCACAATTTAGGAGACTAGGGGCAGACCGCGGTGAAGGCAGAAATTCCAGCACACCCCCTCACGCTCGGACCTCAATGAGGCCGAAATGTGGACGATGCGGGAACCTAACAAGTGATCTAGGATAGGCTCTGATAACATGTTAGAATCTCAATATATATAATATTCAGACTCTAACATAGATTATTTAGCTACTGTCTCACATGTCTTCTCTAAGTTTTATGAATATTTGAGTCACTAGTTACAGTAAATATTCTGCAATGACTAGAACTCTGCATTTTTATGTACTAAAATGGAAAGCTCAAAATTCTGAGCTGACATCCCAGTTACTTCAGTACAAGCCCAGTATTACAGATAAAAAAATTGCAAATTTGCAACAGGGAAAATCCTAAACCAAAAAAATGGAAAATATTTTGTAGACTTACGTCATCTGTCTTAGATTTTGTAACAATTAAATTAAATATAAATATATAGAAATAAACAAAACATAAACTGGGAGCATAATATCTATAAGTTTGATCAATGGAGCATATGTGAACAAATAACTGTATAATCTTACAATGGTTGATCAGATGCTTTAGCTCCAGCCTTTATAAGGCAGTAACTAGTTCCACCAATTATTGATGAAAAGATGCCCACTAGGATTTCAAATATATGATGAGTTGGCTTGGCATTTGCATTGCTTGCTTCGGCAACTTTGACTACCTGTTCTGGAAAATCCACATTCAGAAATTAGGAAATGTAGTAAAAGTATATCAACTATTCTTCTGAAACCTAGATAATGCAGCTTATATTCTTTGAAATCATTCAAAGGAAAAAACAGAACACAAGGCCACTTAAAACCATGTGCTCTCGATAATAAATCATGTACGCCTGTTATAAATTAAAAGGAAAAAACAACCAGTAAATAATACAAATGATATTGCACCTACAAGAATATGAGAGGGAAACTACTATACCTTGAGTAGCAAGCATTTCTCGAAAGAAGAAGAGCACACCGAAGAAACTACAAGCAAGACCTGCAAAATATGCAAAATTAACTAAATTAATCAATGCATGCAAATTGTAATTAATGATGAATACAGTTTTTTATAATTATTAAATTAATTCTTCTTGTAAGTAGATTATGAAACTTAGGTTTGTAATTCAGGAATTATGATTTAAGTTTTAAGATTATTAAGTTTAGTTATTTCTTGTTTGGGTTGTATATTTTATTCTAGTTGGTTTAGGATCCTATTTCCTAATGTATCTTAGCATTGCTTTAATTTTAAGTTCAACATTCTTGTCCGGGTAGTATAAGGTTTACGAGTTACCTAATACAAGGTTTAGTATACCAATAGAGTTCAGTTATGAATGAAACCACCTAGTATTTTTCAGTGTTGAGTTTTCTATATAAACACAAACAACAACAACCAAGTTTTATCCCACTAAGTGGCGTCCACTACAGGATCAAACTATGCCATAATGTTATTTCAAAAATCATGTTTCTATTCAACTCCATAATAGTATCTCTTATGGTTTTCCTAAATCTTCCCCTACCTCTAGTTGTTTGACTACCCTCCATCTGATCTACTCTTCTTACTACATAATCCACAGATCTTTCTCTACATGTCCAAACCACTTAAGCTTATTTTCTACCATATTTTCCTTGATGGGTGCTACCCCAATACTCTCTAATATTGTCATTTCTAATCTTATTGCGTCTAGTCTTATCACACATCAAACACAACATCCTCGTCTCTGCCAGTGTTGTCGATGGCTGATGACTCTCTAGCGTGGAGAGCCAAAATTCTACCATGTCAGGCGCTTTGTGGCGCTGTTATAGAGGGATTATGGGGGAAAACCCCGCGCAATGTCGGCCAATATTTACCATTGTGGCGAACCCGAAAATCACCAAGTATATCCACTATAGCGGATATTTGATAACACTGGTCTCTGCTACACTTATTTTGTTTTCATGTTGGTTCTTTGCCGCCCAACATTCCATCCCATACAGCATTGTTGGTCTTAAAGTTGTCTGATAAAATCTTCCCTTTAGTTTGAGCAGTACTTTCGTGTCCCATAAAACTCCTAAGGCCCTCCTCCATTTCCACCACTCAATTTGAATTCAATGGTTTACATCTCCTTCTATTTTTATCCATTGTTTTGTACTATGAATCTAAGATATTTAAACCGAGTAACTGTGGTAAGATATGATCACCAACTTTAACCTTAGGTTAGAAACACTTTTCCTTTTGTTAAGTTTGCATTTCATTCCGTCTTACTTCTTAAACGGGCGAAAGTCATACGCTTAAATGGTAGTTACAATTGATGGAACAACAGCCCACAATACTTCAGCTTTCTAGACCGGATAAAATAGGACTAAAAATTCTCGTCATTCCATCATAGTTTTATAATAGCAGATAGTTTACAAACAGAACTATGAAATCTTACTTGCAATATCTGCAATTTTCAATTTCTCACGCAAAAAGAATCGTGCCATTACTGAAGCCATAATTGGAGTTGTTGAGTTCAACACAATAGCCTGAGAAAAAGGCAACCTCTGAAAGCTGAAAAAGAACAGATTTCTTTTATAACAATACTTGGGAACAAAAAATTGCAAAGGATGAATGGGTTGCACATAAACTCAGAAAAGAGTTAGTTCCATTTTGAAAAAATAAAAGATTATAAAATACTATGCCTTTTTTTATACAAATTTCTTAGTTACACGAAAATGCAATGTTATCGCATTTCTAAAACCTTCATTTAATATTAGACTAGAAAGTAGTAACTCGTGCAATTACTGTTCAGACAAGTGCAGAAAAAGACTAAGAACATTAAAGAACAATGTAATCCAGTAATATTCTAAAACAATGATACTTTAAAAACATACAGAGATAAATCGTGAAGGGGAAACACGATTGCAAAATGACAAATTAAGTACTGAAAAGATTGGATATTGAAGCAAAATAAACTCAAAGACTACTTACCAATATATAAAACTTGACATTGATATACAGCCAGTAAGGGCCCTTAAAAGTAAAATGATTCTAACATTGGATGTTCCAAACAGTGGCTGTTCACTCCTTCTCAACCACAAATATGACAGTATCAAGACAATTGTACATCTTGTAAAAGCCGTCTCAAACAAAGGAATAGCCTGAACTGCCAATCAAAAATGTAATTGCAAAAATTAAAACGAGAAACAAGCAAGAAAATACACAAATCAAAAAAGAAAATTATAAATGATGAAAAAATTAAAGTAAACATCCATTGTAGTTGTACTTAATGCACAATGAAATAGTGAGAGTAATCTCCCAAAAACAAATCCAAAGTAGCTAAGTCGGTGTTCAAGAAACAATATAGGATTGCGTAATGTGGAGCAAAGAAAATGACAATTTATATATTATGCGGAAGGTTACCGGAAAGAAGATTGGAAAGAAGTCCCATAAGAAAATAAACAATGGATGACAAAGCCATGCAGAGTAAACCAGAATATCTGGATCCATTCCATATCCACAAAATACACTGAGTGAAAGGAGATGATGACTCAGACTCAAGTAATCTCGTTACTTCATCCTGCGGCCAAACATGAAAATTTCAAAAAATAATAATTAACATATGAATTGAAGTTTTATATAGAAATTAATAATAGAAATGAAAGGAAATGAAAAATACTCTAGGTTTTCTTCGAGGATAAGAAGCGGTAAAGATGTTGATCTTTGGTCTATCAGTGTGGGAGAGAAGAGGGGCAATTTGGGCATCAACATTATCGCGAGAGTCGTCGGAGGAAGTCGGCGGTGGTGGTGGCGGTGGTTGTGATGCGTCGTGAACGATGAGTTCGACGACGTGATCTCCACCGTTAGATTCGGAAGATGTCATGGTTTCATTCAGATTTGGAAGAGAAAGGTGGGAGAAGGACTGACTGAGAAAGAGGACCTAATTAGCACCCAGCCATGTCGTTTCTCTTTCTTTTTTTCTAAGCAACAATTTACAAGTCAAAATAAGTTTTTTTTTCCTTCGTTAAAATTATTTTATTTCATTGGTGTTTAATTTGTCAGGGCTCGGAAATCCTTTTCTGTTCAAACAGAATTTGTCTTATCTTTTGTACCCAAAAAAGATATCTTGAGATAAATTAATTTTTGTACCAAAAACAATTTAAAAAAACTTTAGATTTTGAATTATTAGAGGATTAAGAAGAGGTACTTATATGGATACATTTTTATATTTTCAACTAGAATTTATTTTATTTTAAAATTTTATATTGGCTTGAGATATAACTTTGATACGAAAGTTTGTAATTAATCATGTGCTGAATTATAATTTTGGTTTGAAAGCTTATAATTAAGTGTGTCAAGTTGAAACTATAGTTTTAAAGTTTATAACTAATTGTGTGTTGTGTTAGAACTTTGATATAATACTTTGTAATTAATTGTTTGTTTTTAAACTTAATTATTTAATATAGTTAGAGTTTGTTGAGAAATTTATTATACAAATTTTGTTTATGGTTTAAGTTAAAGTTTTTCTTGTACATAACTATCAAGATCAATCAATAAAAATAATTTGCGTTTTCAGCAAATCATAATATCTTGTTATAGCGAGTGGAGTGCATAAACTACTTTAGAGATAAACTGCACTTGCTTGAGTCATAAGCAACACAATTTTCTTTCTTCTTTCTTTTGTTGTCAATAGAAAGTGTTTCAACAAATTGACATAGCCGGGCCTGATTCAATACTATCTATTAATCATTGATCAAAATTAATAGCAAACTCGAATACATCTTAAAATCAATTATTTGAGAATCTGCAAATGGGCAGTAAACTTATCATTTTGAGCAAAGAAAGAAAGATGAAAATATGATGTTTTTGGTCCAATAATGTGTGGATTCAAATATCTTTGAAAAGATAATTGAAGAAAAAGATAGCAAAAGGTGTGTGGGGAACATAAGATAAAGCTTATGGTGGAAACGATAAACTCAAAAAGGTAAAACTGCGAGCACTAAGAGGCTAATATGAAATGCTAAAGAGGAATGAACAAGAATCAATGGTTGAAATCCTCACAAGATTGGCGGTGGTGACTAATCAACTGAAGGCATGTGGTGAAACAGTGAGTGAGCTGATGTAGGTTGGTTGGGAGTGTCTTGAAAACTTTGACTCCAACTTAGATTACATTGTTTGTGCAATTGATGAATCAAAAGACCTTGTTTCAATGAGGATTGAAGATCTACAGGAAAAACAACAACAATGCTACATATAATTTACACAAGGTAGGGGGAATCTATTAAAGAATCAAAATCATATGATACATTCATTGAATGGAAGGAAATAGCCAAGGTTGCAGAGGTGCAGACTCATTTTGCTTTTTAGCATAATGCATTACTGAGGATTCCAGCCTGAATGGAGTCTCTTACATCCTGTTCTTTTGATTGGTTATGCTCCTGTTGATGCTTAGCCAAACAGTTTTATAAGCAATGCATGAATTGGTATATCGTGATATTTATCACTGGCTCAAGCTTTCGGGTTTAAGGACCGTTCAATTTCTTCAAGAGATCGCCCCTTAGTTTCTACCAAGAAGTAATGGGCAAATGCCGCAGCTAACAGGGAAACTGCTCCAAAGCTAGCATATACCGGTGCAACTCCAAATTTCTCCACCAACTCAAGGAAGAACAATCCCACCACAAAGTTGCAAACCTTTATGTAAAGGATAAAAATTAAAATTATTAGACTGAAAAATTCCATCACAGGTAACAGATGCTAAGTGACACATAAAAAGAGCTTTTCATAGAGGAAAAATCACTGAAGATGCTTAAATACCCACCCAATGGGTTGAGAAACTGAACCCCATGATCTTCCCTCGTGTCCTGGTGCTGCTAAGCTCTGGTATAATGATGCCAGTTACAGGGCCAGCTCCAATTGCAAAAGAGAATATATACCTAGAACATTGTATAAAGAGAAATTGAATCATCAAAGTCCAGTTAATAGCCTTGCAAATAGACAAATGTAAAAAAATAAAAACGCATTGAGAGAGAGAAGAAGAGGAGGGGGGCATATTGATCTGCACAATAGCGCAAGCGTTAGCATTGTCACTTAAGTTAATTGAGGAGGAAGAAAAAGCACTTGCTCTTGCAGAAGCCTTATGGCAATTAGCAAGTATATGCTTACATGATAGTTCCTAATATCGATAAGTTGTTGCTGATTTGCTCATCCAATGGAAAGATGACAGCATAGACCACAAGAAACATTGAAATCGCCTATAAAGAAGCAGAAATTAAAATCACGAGTTACCAAGGAATAAGATCTAAACAAATTCAGCACAGCATGAAACTGTTGTTTATATATACAGGGAAAGAAGTTATGGACACCTTGTACAAACTCACCATTCCTAAATAGCTTCCTATAATAAGTTTTTGCCTCCCTTCCCTATCAATTAAGTATAAAGCACAAAGGGCACCTGAAGAAAAGAATCAGTTCACAGCGATCAGGACCTGAGTTAAAGATGAAACTTATATCGAGATAAATAAATGTAATGCATACTGCAAACCTGCAAAGTTTGTAAGTCCGACAAACAAGCTCGCTAGAGCACTGCTTTGAATTCCGACATCATGAAAGGTCAATGATGAAAAATAAAGAACTGCATTTATGCCTGCAAACTGCTGAAGTACAAAAAGAGCACCTCCAATGAAGGCAACTGTAAACACAGAAGAAAGCCCATTATGGATTGTTTGCCTCATGTGGCACGTAAGTGATGACGATGAGTATGCTCTTGTTTATGAAAAATAAAATATATATTTTATGACGTTAAATTCAATCCTATGCCCTAACTCCAGCAGAAACCATCCCTTTATTGTGCTTATATTCTGCTGACCTAAATTTTCAATCTATGAAGATAGGGAAAAGAATAATTTTCAATGTACAGAATGTTGTCTCAAAGTAATAGCCAAAAGCACCTTGATACAACCTCTAGAATGTGGCTGATCCAAGATCTCTGACCATCTGCTGTCTAAATCACTGCCATCATTCTTGCTGACAGATTGAAACTCTTCAATTGCCCTCTCAACTTCAGATGCTCCCCAAAGCTCCCGTATTACTTTTTTCGCATCATTTATTCTCCCAGCCTAAGCAGAAATGTCAAATATTTAGAAACAGTTTAAAAGCAGACAGATAAGATAAGGAAACAATGAAGTGATATACCTTGCAAAGCCAGCGTGGGCTATCAACAGCAAATTGCATACCCAGACCAACAATAAAACCAGGGACACTTGCAATATACAGCATTGTCCTCCACCTGAAATATATTTTGTTGCTACCGGTTAGGCCATTATTTGGAAAGTAATTTTCTCCTTCTAGAGAATAAAGAATATATGACATACAAATGATGAGCGAATCAAAAGAAAAACAGACCCAACAATAATCCCATATGGAATTGTATTATAATGCAGGTTTTATTTTGGTGAACATTACAAAAGTATGTTTCTGTTGCATTGAATTCAAAGTGGATAAAGTATTGGAATCAAGAAGTGTCTTGAAGAATAATTGTATTCTCTAAAGCTGTCTTGAAAACTACAAAAAAAAAAAAAAAAGGTTGCCAGCCTGTTGCAGTGGCTCTATATATATGAAGTCAAATTCAAGATGACAGAAAGGATATGAGCCATGGCATTTTCATTTAAATCATTCAAAGAAAACTGATATTCTTCAATACAATATCAATATTATGATTTTTTATATATATTCGAAGCTCTAATAGTTATATGTGGGATTTGATGTTGTTAAAGTGTCTCACATCAGATGAAATATGGCCTAAAAATATGTTTATAAGTGGGGACAATCCTCCCCTTACAAGTCGGTTTTGTAAGGTTGGGTTAGGTTTAACCTACAATTCTAAGATAGTATCAAAGTCTATCCAAGATCCGTTGGATCACCTGCTATCAGGTTTTCGCTATTAAACCACCCACCATTTATAATCACGCACCAAGTAGGTTTCCATTACCGGACCACCCACCATTTAAGTCCACACAACAAGTAGGTTTTTGCTAACGGACCACCCACCATTTATATCCACGCAACAAGCAGGTTTATACTATCGGACCACCCACCATTTATATCCATGCACCAAGCCCTATATTGATGGGCGTGAGGGGTGCCCTAAAGGGTCCTACATCAAATGACATATGACCTAAAAATATGTTTATACGCAAGGACAATCCTCACCTTACAAGCCGGTTTTGTAAGGTTGAGTTAGCTCCAATCTACCAAACATTGTAGGCAGATCACCACCAAAATAGAAGATGAAAAATACACAAACACACATCTATTACAGCACATCAATAGACAATTTTGGCAGAAAACCTCTGGAAACCTATAAAAACCATTTATGAAATAAACTTTTCATCCTTGTTTATCATTCGACATATTTTATATTCCCAATAAATCTATTTATTCACCTCAATATACCATACAAACACAAGTGAAAATCTTTGGGTTAAATGCTATTTCCAGTAGTCTGTGAGGAAGAAAATGCAAAGAAACTCACCAGTGTGGATCATTCTCAGAAGGAATTCCAAGAGATAGTGATGCGATAATACCAAGACAAGTGCCAATTTGACATAAGGACCCTAGGGAACCCCTATATTTTGTTGGAGCAACCTACATCACAAATGATAGTGAACAAACGTGAGAGAAAAACTCGCTATTGTTGTCCTAAAATTTCTTTCCTCTCTCGAGAAAAATAGTACATGGATTTAGCATCTTAGAAATCAGATATGTCAACTTATAATACATGGGGAACAAGAATAAGAAATAATGACAAAGTTAATCTTTAAGTACCTCAGATATATATATCGGAACAAGAACAGCATTCACACCTATACCAAGACCAACAAGAAACCTTCCCCAAAGTATCTCATCCAAAGAGTGTGCATTTGCACTGTCAAAAATTGGAAGAGATATGATAATAATATCCTTTAACAACTCAACTATAATCTTAACAGAAGTGTCTGCAATCTTTGGGCAATACAAGCACTGATGATCAGCAAGAATGTAAAGCCAATCCTGTTATAATCATAAATCTCCTATGCATAACAGTAACACAATTCAGAACAAAAGGATAAAAATAGCATTTAGCAATACTACTGTCGAGAAACATTGTGTACTAAAACACTCTTCAACTTATTAGAAATAAATGAGTTGAGACTTGAGACATTCAAATTACCTTATAAAAGTTTAATTATTAGAAACATGTTTGATGCTGAACAGTCACTGACTATAGATGCAAAGGACAAATAGATACAGGTAATAACTCGGCTAAAAGGAAGAAGCCTACTGTTTGTTTGTTTTTTTCTCAAATCCAGGGCATCATGTAAGTGGAAATTTTTACTCATAATCAATAGGAAAAGACAAAATGAGACAGTATAAATAGATAGAAACATAAAAAAGTGGTGCTACAAATTTAGGCTAATCAATTATTTTGGAATCGAATGTTTGCACACCTGATTGAGAGATTCCAGGCATTTAAAAAGCCAGCAACTAGATATGAGATATTAGCTTTCAAACTATTAAAGTTTCCTAGTTTCAAAAAGATAATTATGGAAGAAATTTAGGTAATACTGTAAAATCTGGTGAAACTGTCCTTGTAAAGCTCAAATTACCTTTAGAAAATTATACAAAATTAAATTTGAGACGAAATTAACAAAACGAAAAAACATTGGAGATCGTAAAAAATTTATTTTTTTCTATGCTAAATTTCTTTAAAATTAGAAAGATTGCCAAGTTTACATGTTTGAATCTGACCAAGCATCTCTATAACACATTTCATAACATTAGCAAACCAGAAAGTGCTACATCACAGTAGTGATTTTTTTGTTCTAACCCTCTGGCTCCCACGGTATTGGTAACAGAGTCGTCTTAAATTTTTTGAGGTCTTATGTAGGTTAGCCATAGTTCAACTATGGCAAAATAAATAGGGGCCATATTTTTCCACACTTTAACTGTGACATAATTATGAGGCCCGCTTTAGCAACGGTTTAACCGTGGAAAACTTTGGGCTCAGTACTGTAGTCCACCTTGCACACCCTCAAAGAGACAGCCCTGATTGGTAATCCGGCACATCAATGTAGTATGTGTTCATATTAGTTTATTTTGTGGGAAAAAACTTCTAAGCTAAGGCTTCATGAAATAAGTGATAACTTGATGAAAATAGTGTTTACTAATCATGCTCCACAGCATCAAGTAAGACTCTGAACTTCTAGTAAAATCTTTGAACTTGTTATTCTAAAGAGGCAGATCATAATGTATATTAACATTTTATACAATGAAACATATCAAATTTAAATCCACATAAAATAACCACTTAGCCTTTGAAGCATATTATGTTTCAAGGGAAGAACCTATGTATTCTACCTTATTATGGCCCCAAGGATCAAGGGTATGGTATCAATTTGAAAAGTGAGACGACAACCAAGTTTATCAACCAAAGAACCAGTGGCTAAGCTCCCAATAAACGCGCCAGCGATAAATATACTAACAACAAGTCCCTCAATGAAAGAGTTTCCCTGAAAACCAAGTTCCTGAGCAATTGAAACAATAGGACCATTCATGACCCTGCAAAATAAGCAATCCAGTTGTAGAAAATAAAAAACCAAATCACCATGAAGTTCGAAAAGAGGGTCTAACTGACTGACCCGATATGATAACCGAATGTGAAATTGGACATTGAAGCGATGAGAACGTGAGGGAAAGCGGGTAACCATCCAAGGTCAAGTTCTTCATCGCCATTTTCCACCGATGGAGGTTTAGTTACTTGTGAGTCGGGATTGTGATCCTTGATGGCGGAAACTCTGAGGTTAGAAAGACGAAAGGAGTGAGTGAGAGAGTAAGGTTTGGTTATAATTTTGAATTTGGGTTTTGGTTTGGAGAATGAAAGGAGTTTGGGGTTAGAGTGAGTGGAGATGATCGCTGAGGACACAAAATCAATGGTGTCCATCCTTCAAAGCTGAAAATGCAAAAAAAAAAAAAAAAACTAATAGTATTGTAACTCTATCTAAAATCAATTGCTTGTCAATCTTATTTAAACCCTAATCCGAGATGTCAATATCATTCCATTTCATTCGCAACCAACAATAGTATTCTGTTTTTTCTTAAAACAACTAGTAAGGTGGCGACCCAAGAATAACGTGGTTTGATACTTGCAATTGAATTGTTGTTGTTGCGATAATTATACGTTAATGAAATATAGTTTCTTTTGAAAAAATAAAATAAACTATCTTCATTTTTTTTTTATAAATTACAATTCATTTTTTAAATTTATTGAATAATCAATGTATTTAATATGTAAATAAATTAAATATATTAATTATTCAATTAATTTAAAAAATAATTTGTCTCTTACAAAAAAGAACAGAGATAGTAGTTGATATGTAGGCAATTCAATTGCGCTAATAGGTAGAGAAAAAATTTAATTTATAATAAGTGTCTCATTTGAGTTTTGCATCATTCTTAAAAAAAATGATTAGATGTGTTGATTTTAATGATAAAATTAGTATCATTTACTAAAACACCGTTATTTATTATAGTTAGTAGAATAGTTGAAAAATGTGAAAGCTAATAAATAGGGGTATAGTAGCGGAAAAATAATAAATATTGTATTGATTTTTTAAAGAGATGTATATTTTGAGATATAGAAAAAATATAAATGAGACATTTATTATAAAACGTAGAGAGTAATAGATAAAGTTAGATGATTCTTGCATTTATAAACACATGTGAATTTTCAGAGGTAAAGATGGAGAAGAACTCTCTAAATTTTTGGTGGAAAAGTTAGAATACTTTTAGGCAAATTTTAGGTGAAATAAAGAAAATGGTAGTGTTGATTTTGGAGAAAAAAATATGTGAGAGAAAGTATATTAAGAGAGACAGAGAAAAGTTAGAGAAATATAGAGAAGTTAAAGTTAGAGAATTCAAATTCGGTAAAGATTAAAACATCGCCAACTTTGAGTTTGTCATCTTTTGTGAAATCATACCAACCAACAGTTATGTACATCTCATTTTGATCGGTTAAGAGTCACACATCAGACAATATATGACATAAACATGTATGTCCTTATAAATGGGCAATCTTAACCCTACAAATCGATTTTTTAGGATTGAGTTAGGACCAATCGCATTTCTTAACACAATATCAAAAGTCTCATTTAAAATTCGGTGGACCACCTGCTATCAGGTTTACATCATTAATAACATTAAGGATATCACAATATTCTCAATTGTCATTGTAATTGGATCAACATTACACTTTTTCTACTTAACTTTTTGGGAATTTCTTTGTACACCTCTATGGGGTGGGAAAACCCCTGAATTTCTGAAAATATCCTTCGGAAGTGCATTTCCGAACACACCCCAAGTCAAGGTGTTTCGGAGATGCATTTCTGAAAACAATATTTTTGGACTTAGATGTTATATTTAAACATGCAGTGACATTTTCGGAGATGCATCTTTGAAACACCCTATTTTTGGGATTTCGGATGTGGATATCTGAAACGCTAGACAATGATATTGGTGGAGGAACATTGCTTAAATGCCTCTTCTGGATCAGCTCCAAGATATTCGACCATTCATTCAATCTCTAAATTACGATTTATCCGAGAGTGCTTACGTAATCTCCCTATGATAAGAAGGTGTAGCAAGCAGGCAACGCCATCAAGTGTGATTGTCATCTCCCCAACAGACAAGCGGAAAGATGACGTCTCATTGTGCCACCTCTCCACAAATGCCCCGTGCATGTCGTGGCTGATGGTGCTATAGCCGAAACAACAAAGGTCGGCAAGTCCCGAGCCAAAAATGACCTCTCTAAACCAATCCTCATCAGGGTGATACAGCTCAGATATCTTTTGTGTGTGGTTCACGCACTTTAGTGGCTGACGTTCCACTTAAGATAAATAATTAATATCAATTTTAACATATTATTACTTAAATCATTTAAATTAAAAGTGTAACAAAGAATAGTAAAATACTAAAAAAATATTTTCATTTCTAAATTAAATTAGTTTAAATTTCTTTTATTAACTAATTATTTCTTTTTAGTTTATTAGGTTAAAATTAAAACCTTTTCTTAACAAAACCAAACAAAATACATTCTTTTTTCATTCATTACCTTATATGTTATTTCTTTTCTTACTTTGTACATTGTATATTTCAATTCTTGTATATTTATTCATTCAATTCAATATGGTTGTAATAGGTAATTAGAGTTTTAATTTCTTGCGATTTCCCATTTGTAATTTGTACACTTCATCCCCAAATAATGTAATAGCGTAGGATATTTACTCTCCACAATTTACCGCTTTCAAATATTAATGCTAGTAAATTAGGGTTTGTATGGAAAGATAAAGTCAATACTAGAAAACCCTAATTCAATATAAAGCAATGCATGAAATCAAAACACTTACACACTTTGCACCCCTAGGGTTAACTCCACTTTGTTGCCTTAAAAATGGTCATGTTATGCATGTGAGACATCTTAGCAAAAATAATAAAAAATACAAGATCATGGTCCCTCGATGACACTACGAATGTTTCCTTACAAATGATCTTAGTCTCTTAAGAGAAATGCTAAGATATCTCACTATATTGCTATCTATGACTATACGATGATCCACGCCCGTCCCTTCACATCCAAAGATATGGTTACTTACCAATTAATGGTGATATAACAATATCAAAGGAAGAGAGAAATGAACAAAAGACTTTCGAGTAGGTAGAACGTTCTTAGTTGCTTGCTCACAATCCATATCCAAAAACAAACATTTTTTCAAACACACCAAACACTTTCAAAAAACATGAAATATTTTCAAAAGTCCAACACTTTGTATGCATTCTTATAGAGACGAGAATCATTACAAAGTTTTCCTAAGCGAAGGCGCTTTTCAAAAATACTTTCAAAACCCATCACAAACACGTTTCAAACAAAGCAATTTCAAAAGTGATCTAGCGAGCAACTAAGAGCCGATAGATAACTGTAGATTTGAAGGGTGCTAACACCTTCCCTTTTCATAACCTACCCCCCAAACTCAAGAAAATATCTCAAAGGTCTTTCCTGTTCTTTTCACACTTTCCTTATTGGATAAAAGAAAAGTCGATGGCGACTCTTGCCATCCGGAACAATTGCGATCAAAAGCAAAACACCCAAGTCAGTTCTCCCACCGTATTACAGAACTAGTGACTCTGCTGGGGAAATACTTAAAAGTGGGGTTACCTTAGATCTAGATCACCTTCAAATTATTTCTTTGTTTGATTTGTTTGATTTAAATTTATGGATCCTTGTTTGGGTTTATATTGATCCTCTACCCGGATCTGGGAACACCATTCGGTAAATAGCAAAAATTATGGAGATTGTACGGTGTAGATCGATATGGTTGAAACAATGGCTATGTTAGTGTGACATATTTGTGGGTACTAGTGTCCCTTATGGGGAATTAAGGAGAATACGGGGCCGCTGAGTGATGTCATGAAGCACTAACGAACCTTAGAATCTTTAATTGAACAACTTGGCCATTATGAAGTAGTGAGATAGTTGGCTTTTGTGCAGTCTGAAGTTGGTTGATACTCGATACTACACTCATTGAGATCTGACTCTTAGGATATTTCGGTCTCCAATAAAGAGGCTTGTGCTGAAACAACGCCCAATGGAGAAGGATCAATGACATTGAGATCCCCTATAACCTAATTACTTTCTAGGACAGGTTGAACCAACTAAACTTCAAGAGGGTATTTACCTATGAATCCATGCAAGCCTAAACCTAAGGAATTGTGTGCCTTGTGTGTATATGTTTACTTGTACATAACATCATAACATCATACCATTTCATTTTTGCACTAATCATTTCAAGGACTTTGGGATTTATCTTTGTGTTGTTTTGTAGGACATGGCTTCCATGAGACGAAACACTATCTGAATCAACCTCGTCAAAATGGCTCTCAACTTAAGGAATTGGCATCAAGGGTCCCCAATGATTCTCCCTTCACCAAAAAAATCCGGTCATATCGTTAACTTGGTTACAACAAACTTTGAAAAGGATATGATGCATGTATTATTCCAATTCTTTGACCCTAAACACCATTGCTTTACCTTTCCTGATTACCAACTTGTGCCCACTATGGAAGAATTTTCTCAACTCTTAGGAATCCCTATTATTGATCAACTACCCTTCAACGGTATTGAAAGAGACCCAAGACCTGAGGAGATTGCTCGAGTTCTTCATTTGAAACGATCTGACTTTGTGGCCAATTGGGAAATAAGAAGTGATGTCAAAGGGTTACTAGCCAAGTTTTTGTTGGAGAAGGTTCAATGTTCTTGGGATGCTTTGGATATATAAGCCTTTGAGGAAGTGTTGGCTCTTCTCATCTATGGTATGGTTCTATTTCTTAATCCTGACCAACTCATAGATGTGAACACAGTCAAAAAAATTCTATCTCGCAATCTGGTGCCTACTTTACTTAGGGATATCTTGCATTCTCTTCACTCTCGCACCATGAAGAGAAGAGGACTTCTTATGTGTTTCACTCCTCTGTTGGCTAGGTAGTTTATTTCACACCTACCCCAATCTATTATGAAGAACCGGCAAGGCTTAATATGGTCTAGTAGGTTGATGTCACTTACACATTCTAATATTTATTGGTGTTCTCGATCCATGGAAGACATTACTATTATTGACCATTATGGAGAATTCCCTAATGTCCCTCTACTTGGCACTAGGGGAGGTATTACCTACATTCCTTGTTTGGCTTTGCGACAGTTTGGGTATGCTAGGAGGGATGGCCCTTATGATGCACTTGTCCAAGGAATTGCATTCGACTACGAGAATGATGTCCAAGGTTATCACCAAAGATTTATACGAGCTTAGGGCATGGTTAACAAGGTTGATAGCAAGACGTTGGGGAATAATAACTCCATTCCTTTGGAGCCTTATCTCAAGTGAGTGCGAACTC